ACTATAGATCCATGTCCTTAAGCCCCACACCCACTAACTCAAACCCTTTTAAACTCCAGATCACTTTTGCACGGCCTAACGACCTTCCTCTAGCCCATTAAGCCTAAGCTCGTACCACCCCAATATGTCACTCCCATAAACATCTCCCGAACCTCCAATTTAATTTATAATAGATCTATCAACTTACCACTTACTTTTCCAAGCGCCATCAACATCTCCAATCCCAATCGACCAAATCCCAGTATTTTCTTCATATCCTAAATCACATACTTCCCTACATGTCCACAGTCTCATTCCACGACCACGGGATCCCTACATGGCAGCCTATATCCTTTCTCTAACATCCATGACATCATCCCATAGTCCATCATAATCAAATTCTCCTAATCCAAAGCATGCCCCTACATCTTGTACCTAGAACAATGTAAAAACAAATCCACTAACAACTACTTCTCCTTCACATACCAAGTTTACACGTGCAAAATGAGGCAAACTAAAGCCTCATACCTATTCCACAGAGGTTACTCTAGTTGCTCCATTTTCTTATTCATAGGCCCGATCCGAACCCTTTTAGCGATGACCCATATCAAATGAACTACAAGCCCTACTTGCTAATGACAAATGGGAGTTGGTTCTATGCTAACCCACTAAATGGGTTTACAAAGTGAAGACACATTCATATGGGTCTCTTGATCGTTACAAAGCATGATTGGTTGCCAAAATTTTTAATCAACATCCTGTAGTTGATTTCATTGACATTTATAACCTCGGTTATTAAACTTGTTGCTCGGTGTGTAATTCTATCCATGGTTGTCTTTTTGAGTTAACATGTTGAACAATTAGACATTTTAAATGCATTTCTACATGGTCCATTGGAGGAAGTTGTTCACATATCTCGACCACAAGGTTTTGTTGATCCACAATAACCTACACATGTTTACAAGTTAAAGAAATCCTTCTATGGATAAAAATAAGCACCTCATCAATGATTCGGGTGTCTTATTGACAAGTTGATATCTCTAGGCTTCAAAGGATCCCAAACCGATGTCTTTTTTCTTTTTTAAAATCATCGGGATAAGACATCCTTGTTTGCCTTATTAATGTTGATGATTTGGTTATTACCGAGAACAATGGTAACTTAGTATCCTCTCTTATTTCTACCCAAGCATTCCTACTTCCTAGTAAAACCCCTTAACGAGCTTCGATATCTTTTGGAGGTAGAAGCTAAATGGGGGGTTTTGGGTTTGTTCCTTCATCAACATAAACATTCTAATGAGCTCTTACAAAAGGCTAACATGCATCGTGCCAATGACCTTAGCATGCGTGCTTGTCCTCACACTAAGTTACGTATAATAAGGGTACCATGTTTACGGATCCTTATTTGTACCATAACTTTGTGGGTGGCTTGTAATATCTCGGAATCACTCACCCGGACATTGCCTATTCCGTCAATAAGGTAGCTCATTATATGCATTCCTCTATAAACACTCATTAGACTACATTGAAATGAATCTTTTGTTACCTTCGGGATACAAAATCTTATGGCTTACACTTTCGGCGCTCCAATGGCTTCTCTCTTACAAACTATACAAACTCTTATTGGGGTGGTAATATTGATGATTACCAAAGCACGTCCGGTTATGTAATTTATCTTGGTAAAAATCTAATCTCATGGTGTTGTCGCAAACAATGTATCGTTGCCCGCTCACTCACGAAGTCGTGTTTCGAGCTCGGCAATAACCTACCGTAAGGTCAAATAGATTGTATCTCCATTTAAGGAGATTGGTATTCGTGTTAGTTGACCACCACAAATGCGGTATGATAATGTCTCTGCTACTTACCTTACAAACACACCAATTTTTCATTCCCGATCAAAGCACTTAGAAATTGATTTTCATTTTGTGCGTGATAGGTTTGTCAAGGTTTGCTCAAAGTCGGCTACTTGCCTACAACCGACCAAATTGCTAACATCCTCACCAAACCTTTATCCAAAACATAATTTCGGATACTTTGACATAAGTTGTGCGTTCTTTCTTATCCTACTCGACTTGTCGAATGGTGATAAGGATAAAATCTCTCATCCTATTATTTCTTCAATATTATAGCTAATAGTAGTTTATCGTACTTGTGCATCTATTGTAATTATCCTTTATGTTTGTCTTAGTGTATAAAGATATACTCATGTGAAGTGTTTTGGTTATGTGAGTGAATAAATTCTTTACAATTTGATGTTTGATTACATTTTATTATTGTACTTTTGAGATCTAGATATAAAAGGACTAATAAAAACTATAATATACTAAAAATATTTTTAACAAAAATATTTTATTTTTATTAAATGATTTATAATTTCTTAAACTCACATGACGTGTGTATTTTTTTAAGGGTAATTTTAAAGTTTGAGAAACTAAAAAAGAAAGAAGAAGTTAAATAAGATGGCCAGGTATATAGACACACCATTTCTATATATATATATATATATATATATATATATATATATATATATATATATATATTTGGAATATAATTACGTAAAACACTATCATTTTTAGAATGTGATACTTTTGAAAAAATGACATTTTAATTAAAATAAAAAATGCCATTTTAATTAAAAGAAAAATAAATCATACAATAAGCGGTTGTGTTTTTTTGTTAAAGCAGGGTTTCTGCTTTATTTAAAAAACAAAGTAGTTTTCTTTTAAAATGACACTTAATTGTTTTCATTTCAAAATAAAACAATTTTATTTTAAAACAGTATTTGTTTTGATTTCAAAGCAAAACATGCATTAATCTAATGTTGTTTTGAGATCAAATGCAATTAAACACGACTATTATATTAATTCTTTAATTAACAGCAGATCGATCGAGCAATAGCAAACGTGCACTAAATGTTAAAGCTAGCCGGTGTTTTTGTGAAATAAATTCTCTTAATTTGCTTAATGTGCACAGAGAGGGCATTGGTCACCCAGCCAACAAATCTCGTAGTGGCTACTGTCCACCTATGTGTAGGTGGGGTTAATTCCTAGAACAATCCAATATTTTGGTCCGTTTTATGATTTATAAATTCAGCGTCTTTTCTGTTGTTTGTTCATATGGTTTGCTAAAGATGTGAAGGCGAGAGAGAGAGAGAGAGAGAGAGAGAGAGAGAGAGAGAGAGAGAGAGAGAGAGAGGGGGGTTATAAATTAGTTTTTTTAGTTTCAAAAACAAATTAATTAATCCTTCTTATTTTAAAAATTAATCATTTAATTTTTTAATCAATATTGATCATATTTAATTTATTATTACTTTATTCTAAAAAACCGTCTAATTTTTTCATCAATCTTTGCATAATATTTATTTTTTTCAATTTTAAAAAATAAGTTAAAAATAATATAAAATAGAGAAAATGATTAAATAATTAGTTTTTGAAAAAAAAACTAATTAATTTATTTCTCAAAACTAAAGAAATTAATTATTTATAATTTAATCCTATATAGTTCTAATCATATAACTTCATTTGCTTTGCAAGATTGATCTGATTCGACGATTAATAAATAATCAATTTTTTTAAAAAATTATTAATATTTCTAAACGTATCAATAGTTTGTACCATAATCTCATTTATGCATTGTCTTGATCACTATAATTATGTTTATAAGCTCATTTATCTGTTACTCACATTTTCTTTTCTTTTCAACTTAGTACCAATATTTAAAATGTTTTATTTATTGATTGAAATTGAATTCAAAATTTTATATCCCAAAACAGAATAAAACGAAATAAAAAGTTTCAAAAAAATGTATAATATATGTTTTATATATTCTCGATGTATATTCAATTTAAATTCTTAATTACTTTCACATTTACATAGAAATACTATATCGCGTTACTTGTTTTCGTAAATTTTATTAAGAAATGATTTAATTGATATATAAATAATAAGGTGTAAAATGATTCATGATTTAACTCCTATACGATAATTAATTTTTAAAAAACTTAAAGGATTTTGATGTGAATTGATACGGCAAATCTATTCATTTCAATTAATAAATAACTCTATAAATATTCAATTGCACAAGATGAATAGACTTTAATATTATTTAATTGGGTTGAATTGATAATATCTTTGAACTGGATAAATGTTCTATGAAATGGGCTTGAGGAAAGAAAATAGTAAACTGTATATAATCTTATACAAAGTTTAGGATTTTGGTCTCAATTAGATAAAGATTTGTGTTAATTATCTTTCATGGCGCATCAGATTTGATATAATTTTTGTTTGAAATATATATCTATGTGTGGGGTATTCGAATCAATTTTTACGTCAAAAAAACTAAATCCACTGTACTAATTTAGCACTATATATAGATTGTGATAGTGTATATTATAAAATATTAGTGTAATAAATGGTATTGACACAGTTTAATTGCTAAAAAAAAAAAAAATGCATGCAAAATATTAGAGTAAGGTTGAACAATCACATGCATCAGGAGTCATTCAACTAGTTCTATTGTATTTTAGTAAAATTTTCACCTTTATTTTACAACGATGATTAAGATTGTTAATAGATAATTTTTGCCTCTATTATTTTATTTTTATTACAAAAATACAAAAAAAAATAATAATAAACAAAACAATGAAATGCCAAGTATAAAAAAAAAACATTTGAAACAAGTAGCTCGGATTAATTCTAAGAGGGTAATTAAGAAAAATAAAAAGTTTAGAAATAAAAGAAAAGATAATTGATGGTACAATTAAAAGATCTAAAACCTCTCGTCCTTTAATTAAAAGAGGGGGCATAATCGAAACAAATTAAAAGAACGATTCTTAATTAATTGCATTTAAGAATGCCATTGAAGTTGAAAGAATTAGAGTCGTGCTTAAATTGATGCATTATAGGGAAATAGGGACGAAAACGAACTTTTTCTAAAAAACCTAAAACCCATCCATAAAAATCTCTCCCTTGCATTTTTTTATTTTATTTTATGCGAATTACTATTGATCATCCTCAAAACAAAGATCATCCAACTAGCTCTCTAAACTCCAACCCAAACGAGCTCTCATACGTTGACATCCTCTTACGCCATCTAGCCTCCTCCCTTGTTTGAAACAGACCCTTCACCAACGAACCTCCCCATGTCGCAATAGCACAACCCTTACAACTAGCCTCGAAACCAACAACCTCCTCACTAATAGCTTCCCACGTCGCAATAGCCCAACCCTTGCAACCAGCCTTGAAAATAGTCACGCTTACAACCGGGCTTAAAAACGAGCAACCCATCACGAGAAGCCAACCTCTCACCAATAGCCTCCCCACATTGTAACAGACCAAACTTCGTAGCTAGCCTCGAAACTAGCGGTCGCTTACTAATAGCTCCTCATCAACGGACTTTCCACATCATAACAATCAAGCCCTTACAATCGGCCACGAAACTAGTAGCACATCACTAGCAGACCAACACATCACTAGCGACCCTTCGTAAGTGCCAAACAACAACAACCCTCTTCCACCACAAAACCATCACTTTTCCTCCATTTTGTTTAGGTTGGAACTTCCAATCACAAAACCACCAACTTTTCCTCTTTTGTAAGCCGAAAGTTGCTTGCAAAAAAAAAAAAAAAAACTCCCCATTTACCCCCTTATTTAGGTTGAAAGTTACAACCACAAAGTCACTACCTCTTTAGGTCAAAAATTACAGCCATAAAGCCACAACCTTTTTCTTCCATATTAGGCTAAGAGTTGCTACCATTCCAGCCACCATTTTAGGCTAAAAGTCGCTACCATTTCTAGCCATCACTCATAGCAAAACAAAATAGAAAACATAATGTGTTATGTGTTTGATTGTAAACATTAAATGATAGAACATATATAAAAGTTTTATAGTTTGATTGATTAAGTTTGGCAAGAATAATAAGATGTTGTAGATTATTTTGTGTTGGTTTTTTATAAGAAAAACACAACAACTACTTTTTTACCAAGTCCCCTTAAAGTTGCAGCAACATTGACAATTTTGAGAGAAGTTGAAAGTTTATAGAGTGACTAAAATTTGCAATAACTTTGGTAAATTTATAGTAACTTTGGCGACAATAGCAACTTTAACTATTTGCATTGACCTTGGAGAGACCTTCGATCACCTTAGTAAGACCCATATAATATTTTGACAATAGACAGCTAATCTTCTTTCCCGGCCAACTCAATAATCTGTTACCATCGAAGACAAAGAGAGTAATTTTAGGTAAAACCTTTAAAATGATCTGTACTCCTTTAAAATGTGAATGAAATTATCACATTTTATTTATATATTTATGGTTTAAATATTTTTTAGGTAACTTTTCACTTATGTGAAAAAGTCCTCAATGATTCGGACATCATTTTGCATACATTCTATTTATCAAAAAATAGGCTACCGATGACTTCTCACTTAAATGATGAAGTTGTTAGTGGCTTCTCAATAAGTTATCTCGCTCCTTGCTCGACCAAAATAAAATTACCGATTGCTTTTTACTTATGTGATGAAATTATTGATAACTTCTTATATCCATGACTTGAAGTCGTCGGTGGCTTTCCACTTGTGTGAGTGAAGTTGTTGGTGACTCACTACTCATGTTAATAAAAGGATATCTATTTTTAAAAACTCACTTACTTATCGTTATAAGTCGTGTTGGTTAAAGATTAGTTGATATTCCAATTTCTCCTATCTTTCCCCCTTTGAGTTATGGGTATTAGCCTTATACCGGTAAGAACCCCCTAACTACTCCGTTTTACAACCACATCCATAATCTATTCTATTTTACATCAAAGACTCTTAAACCACTTTATTTTACATCTCTAAACACCCAAACTACTCATCCACACCTCTAAACTACTCTGTTTTTATATTTTAATAAAATAAACTCATTTAAATAGGCATAGAAGTATAACACAATAAAAAAACTAGATTTTAATTTTTACATGCATTCATGTGGCCTACCTCAAGTAGGATGGGATATCGATGATGTCATATCTTCTCCATACATAACCAATCTATTACTTAGATATCTTTGTAAAACTAGTATATTTAGGATTTTCTTGTTCGTCCCGATTAGTTAGGTGGCGACTCCTTATTTCTCGCGACCTCCCCGCGAGCCCACATCAACAAAGATTAATTAAGATTCTTTCATATTCTTTTATAATATTTATTAAATCAAAGTCATTGAAATTAAAATTAATGGTTATATTTCATCTTAAAATTAACTTTCTCTTATTCTTTATATTAATTGTAAAAGTGAGACTCGAACCCTCCTCTTTTATGAGTAAAGAGGTTAACAATGTCAATTCGGGAACAAAACCAAAAGCCATAATATCAAGCTTAAATGAAAATCCTTACAATTTATACGAATCCACTAATTAATATGGATATGAACATAATCTATGATGTTTTTAAGAGCATGAAAGGAGTCAAATTAATGCCAATTGCCTATATAATTTGGTAAAAATAAATCCTATATATTTTTCGATAGTTACCGGATATCATCAAACATCCAATCGTGTCACTATAAGAAATTTGCTAAATAGTGATGAATTTTTCTATCGCAATTTTCCAAAAATCCATCACTAAATGGCATTAACATCGGATTAAAGACAAGATTCAATTCGTCACTAAAGTGGTGGTTGTTATTTTTTTAGCAAGCATAATTTTTTTCATCACTATTTTGTTGATTTTTTATTGCTAAATGGTTCTAAATCAGCTTGTCTCGACATTTTGTATCCATCACTAGCCATCATTATTTTTGCTTATTTTTGTTGCTAAATCGCGAATGATGTTGTTGCTAAATTTTAATCACTAATATCCTCATAATTTCAATGTTATTTCCATCGCTATTTAATGACCGAGTATTCATCTATCACTAATTATCATCTCTATTCTATCACTAAATCTATTGCTATTTTTTTTAAAGAATTGTCATTTATTGATAATTATAAAAGTGAATAAATATAAATAACACTTTATTAAAACATGTTATATCATTAAAAAAATTAAAATTAGATAAATTAAAATAAAATAAATATATAAATATGTTAAGATGTAAAAAAATATTAAAAAAAATTAAATTATAAATTTAGTCATCATTATCACCATCTCTCGGCATTATCTTTCTACTGTTAGCTATTGAGCGAAACTACTGATCGCTAGGTTGTGGGAGGGTGAACAAAAGGGACGAAAGACGACTAGAGGTTTTCTAACTATCCCATAAGTCTCGCTAACTGAGTCTCGCTAGCTATCAAGTTTGCTAGCATGTTACAATTAAATTAAATTAATTAATAAAAATATTACATTTAATTAACAAAATTACACTAAAAAGAAGTTGAATGTACCTAATTTGGACACACTTTTGGGATAGAAGTAATATAATTAGCACTAAATTAGACTAGCACAATTCACAAGAAATATGTTTGAGAATAAAAGGATACAATCGAAGTTTATATTGGTACCATTCAAAGCTACTATAAAACTAATGTTCAAGTCTCGGTTTGCTATTGTTTCGAGCAAAAAAACTTATTCTTCTCTTCTTCTTTTTTTTTTTTTTTTTTAAAAAAAGAAACTATGTTGCTATTGGTCTTAACGAACATGCCCGATTCTTTCTTCTTTCTTCTTCTTCTTTTACATTATGATCACAAACATAATAGCTAGAAGATAAAATAAAAAATATAAATTTCAATTGCTAAAACTATAATCACGAGTAGCTATGTGACTATGATAATTTCAAAAACCGATGATTGAAACAACAAAGGATCAAATAAAATTTCTCAAACATCTAGCAAAATTTTGGCGAGTCTCTTTTGTAAATTACACATTTCCTAATTAACAAAAACACTAAATGATCAAACAAATATTATGCATATTGAGATCAATAATTATTCGGATACTCTATTGAAATTAAATCACAAACTCTTCCTTTCAACTCCATCACGGAACATTGAACCAACCTTATCTCTCCTCAATTTTCGAGGGTCTCCAACCCTTCGGATTCGATACACTATGACTTATTTTGGCACACTTCAATAATTATATACAAAGTAATTAAACTAATTAATTTCAATTCTAACCTAATTAAGTTTAAAATAACAATAAATTAAAAGTATTATTTATAAATAATTTTATAATTCAACTAATTAAACATAATTAACATAATTAATTAATTAGATAAAAATCAAGTTAACTTAATTAATTCTAATTCTTACCAAATTAAATTTAAAATAAAAATAAATAAACTAGTTTTAATATAAATAAAGTTATAATTCAACCAATTAAAAAAATTAACATAATTAATTAATTAACTAAACATAAATCAAATTAACTTAATTAATTCTAATTCTATCCAAATTAAATTTAAAATAACAATTAAATTATCTTAATGAACAAAAATATTACATTTAATCAACAAAATTATAATTAATTAAAAAATTGATTCTAATCGAATCAATTATACATAATTAACCAAATTAATTAATTAACTAAACATAATTCAAATTAACTTAATTAATTATAATTCTAAAAAAAATAATTAAATTTAAAATAATATTTAATTTAATTTAATTAACAAAAAAAAATAAGTAACAAATTTATTCTAATCCAATCAATTAAACATAAGCAACCTAATTAATTAATTAACTAAGCATAGTCCAAGTTCACTTAATTAATTCTAATTATAACCAAATTAAATATAAAATAAAAATTGAATTAATTTAATTAACAAAATTTTACATTTAATTAACTAAGTTATTCTAATTCAACTAGATAAACATAATTAGCCTAATTAATTAAATAAACATTAAAAAAATAAACTTAATTAATTAAAAATTAATTCTGATTAAATTTAAATTATATTTAATGAATAAATTAACCTAACAATTAATGAAATTTAGTAATTCAACAGATTAATCAAGAAATTAATCTAACAATTTAGCAAATAAATCAACAAACTAACTATTAAATATTTATATAATTATAAATCAAGCAATTATATTTACAATTAACCTAATAATTATAGCAAATTACTAACATTAATTAAGAAAATAAAAAAAGATAAAAAACTTACGTAATCCGAGTGAAATTGGCCGATATGTAGAAAGAAACAAATTGAGTTTTTTGGGAGAAACTAGTTTGAAGAAGTTGTGGATTGATGGGAGTGGATTATTGGAGTTTTGTGGAGGATTGGGAGGGTTAGAGGAGGGGCGGCAACTTGAGGAGGAAGAGAAATGGGGAAAAAATGAGGGGAGAGGGGTCGTTGTCTAGATTT